CTTGATCTTGGATCGTCCTGAAACGAAATCATCGAAATTGTTTCGATCGCAATATTTTACATGAGAATCAGATGCTCTAATTTTTCGAAACAAAAAATACTGCCAGAACTGTCCAATGTGGAGCCAAAGTACCTACGCAACTAGAAGTTATTTGACAGTCAAGTAATTTGTTTGTGTGACGGTGGTAGAGAAAAGAAAACGCCCCCGTAGCTAATTTAGGTTAGTGCAGACAACTTCGTGATAAAGTCTAAACAAAATCGACAATTATTAATCAATTTCGTTATAGGAAACGACAAAACGCACTGTCGCTATGAGCGATAATTTAATTGTGGCCAGTATTTGCGATGATTGGTTTCAAAACTTGCAATGTGTAATGGCGAAGAGGATACTTACCTACATAATGTAGGTCCCTGGTCCGGACGAGGTTTATGTGTCGGTGTCCTGGTGCCGATATTCCCTTAAGCATTATCGTGACTTTTGTTTCTGTAAAATGCCCCCTCCCCGCGAAGTGGTCATGAGCGTTGGACTATTTCCCCAGTCTTCAGCTGATGATGGACTAGTTATTTTCTGTTTCGTAACAGACGACGAATGAGGGAGTTTTCCACTTCCACTGAAATTTGAATTCGCTTTTCTTTCGTTACGTTGTAAGTCTGGAAACGCTGAACTGAAAATGGAGCATCTGTGGCATTGATTCAGGAATAATTGAAGAGTAAAAGTTGCGTTGCGACTTTTGCACAAACAGAAATAGGACATCGATCCATGTCTATGTTTGGAAATCGAAGCAACATCAAGTAAACGGCCTTCTGCATGGGGCACACACGCAACTCAGGTAGTACTTCACAAACCAGAATATAAATTTGGTTTTTGGAATTTCTTTGGCAATAAAACCCGTTTTTATTGGTCGTGTATGAGATGAAACGATGCCATAAATATTGAACGATGTTATTTTAAGATCGTTGCGTTGGAAAAAAACAGGCAAAGAATTTTTTTGGCCTGAACTCCGTAACCTTGATGAACCTAATAATTCGGGAAATGTCTATTGGCACTTTGGTATTTTTAATTTTCAAGAGCCATCTGCGTTATTTAAAGGAATTGAAGGATAAGTGTTATTTCGCGAGTTTATGCTCGTTTCAACTGTAGGAGCTGCAGATCAGCGACCCGAGAAAGGCGCCTACACAAAATAATCGACCGGCACGCTGACCACGTACGGATGAGTTGCTTTATAAATTTAGAAATTTCGATTTGTACAGTGTGATACATGATAAATTAAGTGTTCTTTTACGATTTCGTAAACCTTTACGGAAATAACGCCGAAGTAGTAAACGGTGGCATGTCCGCCAAAAAACTCCACTGCCACCTTTTCCGAATGTGGCTCTGCCTTCTCGAGCTTCTGGAAACCCACGTTCTCGTTCTTCTTCCTTTGTTAACGTACCAGTTTCACATTACGCGCCCTCGCAATTGTGTTAGAAAATATACATGCACGTGCTTCCTTAAGTACCCGTCTGGAAGCCTATTCCGTACCCCTCTCTCAGAGAGCTTGGTAACAATATTTAAGTTAAAGTATCACTTTTTCTATTACCTTGCTGTGTAAACCACCTGGTTGCCCAGTATGAACCACACAAAAATACAAAATACTGAAATGTCACGCAGTACGGTCACCCCACTATTCGCCACCGAAAGTCACTTCATAAAAACTAGATTTAAAATAAAATTTTATTGCATTTATTTTCACACAGTCGGCTTGCCCAAATTACACAAGACTCTACATTTACTGGGTTCGTAAACACACGTGACAATATTTATTACTCTTCTATTTCCGTCCCACGTAATACACCACCCAACATTTCCACGTCCGTTTCAACTTCCTATTTCGCTTCCATTTGTATTCACGCATTTGCTCTATTCATCCATTTTACTTCTATTCCACTTTCACTTTGCATATCCTCAACCGCGTTCCATGTCACTTTCTCCTCCACTTCTTTGTCTACAACCTTCTAACTCCTATTCCATCTAGTGGTCGATCACGAGGGAAATTCTTGTCCCTCATATAGGAAATTTCGAGGAAATAGCTGAAAATATGTAAGAAATGGACAAAATTAGAGGAAGTTCTAGGGAAATATTAGACAATTTTGAGGAAATAAGAAGGAATTCTAAGAAAATGTAGAGGAAAGTTTAAGGTAATAAGGTGTAGGGATGCAACGTTACTCATTAGCAGGGTTCGCAAATGGTCTCTTTTTTAGACATTGGTCTCTTTTTTCAATGCTGGTCTCTAAAAGTCTCTATTTTTCATATTTGGTTTCTAAAGTCTCTAAATTTTGCATGTTAAAAAAGTATAATTCATAATTGGTAAACCGCAGAAATTTTACATTTTTAGCGCATTTTTTAAGAATTAAAAAAATGCGTTTTGTCCGTTCGGACCCACTTCTGCAGTTTGGAACTACTTCTAGGAGAATGGTAGGTAGTCCTGGAATTCTTTGGCGTAGGTAGCCTATACTTTGAAGGTGTGCCAGACGGCCACTAAATTTCGTTGTCTAAAAGGCCCCCCCCCCCCACGAATTATTTCCTGAGATGCTGTTTTTGAAAGTAGGTAAAAGTGCAGAACTTTTACATACGACAACCAATTGGTCTCAACGAAAGGAATTAATTTCTACCAACCATAGCCCTCCTCTTCGACCTCTTATCGCGATCGGGTATATTCCCTTATACCTCGAGAACGGATTGTCGGAAGAGGGTACTCACAAAGGGCCATTGGGACGTCTGCAAGAAATATATCCATTGGTGATGTCAAAAAAAAGCTATTTGGGTAAAAAAAAATGCTTTTTATCCTCACAAGAGTTGTGCACAATTTATACTTGTTTAGATATATTGCCGTTTATGTATCTCATATATTACAAAATAAATATTTTTTGCTTAATTTTGTATGGAAATTGGTTCTCGAAGGTCTCTATTTTTAAATATTTAATTAGAGACGAAGTCTCTATTTTTTTACTAAAATCAGTTGCGAACCCTGATCTCACGTTAATTCGGAGAAATTAATTTAGTGATAGGCATGTTGGTTGCCTATGCTGCAGAGTTTACCCATTAAGCGAACATTACTTTTGTCAATGACCGTACATGTGATACGCAACGAAGTCGTAATGCTCCCCCTCCCCTTCCTCCATATTCCGCCCCTTTCGCTTCACAATTCGCGCAATCTGTCACTTTCGCACCAACCCATGCTTCTGTCTACGCTCTTCTCTTTCACCATCTCTTTACCTTTCATACTTTCTTCCACGTGCTCTAGCTCTAGCACTTTTCTCCTTTTTCACTTCTTTTTCCAGTCAGCTCCATTTATGCGTTCACTTGCACTTTCTTTTTCGCTCCAAACTCTATGTACGTTTGTAGGTACCTCATCTTTTGCTCTATTTTCCCCTGCGCTTCTATTTTAACTAAACCTCCTTTTTCTACGTCCACGACCTTCCGCTTAACCTTTCATTTTTACTCAGAACGACCTATTCTTACGCCTCCTTTTCGTTCCCTTTCACGTCCTTTTCCGCTCCTTCTACAACTTACTCCACTTCCACTTACTTCTGTCACCATTTGGTCTACCTTCGCTTACTTTACTCATTTTACTTCCCTTTCCAGTTTGTTCTCCACTTCATTCACACTTTCTACTTCCTCTTCCGTGTTTTTTCTAGTGCACCTTCCCCAGTTCTACTTCTTGAAGTTTCTTTCTTTTGAACGTTCCCTTACACATCCTCTCACCGACTATATTTCACTTCTTCCAATCCACTCCCATTCTCTTTATTGTCAAATTTGATCTATACTTCTTCCACTTCACATTCTATCTTTCACTTTCGCATTCGTTCATTAATGCCGTCATTTTCGTTCTATTTTCTGCTTCCATTTTGTATTTCACTTGTACTTTAACTTTTCACTATATTTCCATTACCTCTTCGTTTTCTTTTTTATCAATCCTTGCTTTGGCTTGAAGCTCCATTTTTATTTCAACTCCGGCCTGCACTTCTTCAATTTGTTGCGATTCTCACTGCTTGTCCACCTCTCGTTCCACATCCTCTTCTACCCCAACTTCCCCTTCTACTTCGACACTCACTTCCTTTTCCACGCCCTCTTTCACTTCGTTCTCAATTTCCCTCGCAATTTCCTGTCCTCCTTGGGTATCAAACTTTTCTTTCGTGTCATCTTCTATTTCTTCTTTCACTTCCCCTTCCACATCTCCCATCAGTTTCTCCGCAACAACCACTCCCACTCGAATTCGTTTTATGAAAATTAAAATGGGGATGTTTGACAGAGATTTAAGCTTCCTAGGTAATTTTTTTTAACTCAAATTAATTCCATCGACACATAGTAATGAACTGCACGCGCCAATACAAAGCGCGGATACTGCAGGTGAGAGAGAAGGGAAAACGAAGAGGCAAGCCCTCTATCGCGCTTCTGTTGGTCGCATACAAATTAAATGGAAGGAACCAATAAGATGCGTAGCCGTAAGAGAGAGCTTGCCTCTTAGTTTTCCCTTCTCTCTCACCTACAGTATCCGTGCTTATCATTGGCACGCGCAGGTCATTTCTATATGTCGATGATTAATTTGTAGACGATTGTATACAGGGTGTTACTAAATATGACTAAAAGGTCCGAAAATTCTTCGTTATCGATCTACAGGGTGTTATAATTTCATGATTTTTGAAGTTTTTCTTTCTGCAGTTTTTGAGATATTAAGTTCAAATTTGGAATATAAATCAAAAATAGTGAAACCGTCGCTTTTTCGATTTTATCTTATAGATTTAGTTATGGGGATTTTAAAAATACTCCCATAGCCTTATTTATCAATGCACAGTTTGTGTCGTACGAGCACATTTCCGCCCTTCGTGCTTTTTTTAAATCAAGATATTGGTCCTTTGAGCCGAATCAAATTTCTTTTCGCCCTTTCCAATATTCGAACGACTAAAACTATGCGTGGTATCACTGCAATATGTATCTACTATCATTAATTGTTACCCAGATACTTTGCAAAATTTAATTTATCCTTAAAACTACTAAAGGTACAACGTAAAATTTAGAAATCTTCCCCTTCGCCTTCGTCGATAGTATCAAGACCTACTTCCTCGTAGTCTTTCTCCAACGCGGCCGTATCCTCTCGTGCTTCCGAAAATTCGCCTTCCTCCATCCCTTCCCCCACGAACCAATGTACAAACGCCCGTTTCGCGTACATCAAATCAAATTTATGATCCAAACGTTCCCACGCCTCGGCGATTGCGGTAGTGTTCGACATCATGCACAGGGCACGTTGTACCTTGGCCAAATCGCCTCCTACAACGACGGTGGGTGGCTGGTAATTTATACCGACTTTGAAACCGGTAGGACACCAATCGACGAACTGAATCGTTCGTCTCGTTTTGATAACGGAAATTGCGGCGTTTATGTCCTTCGGCACGACGTCCCCCCGATACAAGCAGCAGCATGCTATGTACTTGCCGTGGCGAGGGTCGCATTTGACCATTTGGTTTGCGGGCTCGAAGCAGCTGTAGGTGAGTTCCGAGACGGTGAGCTGCTCGTGAAAAGCCCGTTCGGCCGAGACGATCGGTGCGTAAGTTAACAGTGGAAAATGTATTCGGGGATAGGGAACCAAGTTCGTTTGAAATTCGCTTATGTCGACATTGAGCGAACCGTCAAACCGAAGCGATGCCGTTATCGAGCTCACTACTTGGGCTATAATTCGATTTAAATTCGTATACGTCGGCCTGTCAACGTTCAAGTTTCTTCGACAAATGTCGTAGATTGCCTCATTATCGACCATAAAAGCGCAGTCGGAATGATCGAGGGTCGTATGAGTTGTCAGTACAGAGTTATAGGCTTCCACGACGGACGTAGATATTTGAGGAGCCGGATAGACTGCCAATTCCAGCTTGGATTTTTTTCCATAGTCCACTGACAGCCTTTCCATTAGCAGCGAAGTAAACCCGGAGCCCGTACCACCTCCGAAAGAGTGAAACACTATAAATCCTTGCAGACCGTCGCATTGGTCGGTTAATTTCCTGATCCGATCCAGCACTAGCTCTACGACTTCCTTTCCAATTGTGTAGTGACCACGGGCGTAATTATTGGCGGCGTCCTCTTTACCAGATATAAGCTGTTCGGGATGAAACAGTTGTCGGTAGGTTCCCGTTCTAACTTCGTCAATGACACTTGGTTCCAAATCCGCCATTATCGCTCTCGGTACACGCTTCCCGCCGTAAGTTTCACTAAAAAATGTGCTGAAACTGTCGTCACCACTTGATGTATCGGATGGTAGTTGACCATCTGGCTGAATCCCGTGTTCCAGACAGTACAATTCCCAACACGCATTTCCAATTTGGGCCCCACATTGTCCAATATGAACTGATATTACTTCGCGCTGTAATTAAACGGAATTTAGGTTCGTTTTCAAATTGCTCGCGTTGGTTTTTACCATTTTCAATAAAATTTGGTGGAATTCCCCTGGAAAATGTAAAAAAAATTTAGTTGATGACACCCCTTTCAATAGTCAATTTGTTAAACATTCCCAGCCCACTATTTTTTGGTGTCAAATTGACTAAAATAATTTCTCTTTTACAGAAAATTAGCAAAAAGTTATCAGCCTAAGAAGAAAGATGAAGAAGAATACCAGTAAGTGTAATTCCCCCTCCACTTAATTTCTACAGCCAAGTTTGCAGGTATAGTTCATGTAGAGCTTTCAAATTACTAATGGACGAAGTGAACGACCTAGCGGGACAACACGAAGTTGTCGCCGAAAATCTACTAGCCAACGTCCTTAAGGAATTAACGGCGCTGACGAAGGACCTTAGGGACGAACGTAAAGTAAGTGTCAAGGGTAAGAGTCGACACGTAAAATCAACATTAATTACAGAGGCAATTATATGAAGGATCGAGGTTAACTCAATCGTTACAAAATCAAATAGATGAATTATTTAGATCGAAAAAGGCATACGATAAAGCGTTTAAAGAATCAGAAAAGGCGATAGAAAATTTTCAAAAAGCTGATGCTGATTATAATCTTTCAAGGGCGGAGGTGAGAACATTTTTACTCCTTGTCTCACTTTGCAAGGTAAAGTTGTGTATTTGGTTTTTTATTTCTTTCTCTTTAATTGGGGTTAGTTCTCAAACAGTAAGTATATTGCTGTGTGCAATGGTATGCGGTCTTTAAATACAGGTAAGTACTTATGATTTGAAAAAATAGCCACTGCTAATTTTTCTATTGGTTAGTGTTTTTTGCGTTACCAATTCCAAACGTTTTTTAAACCCACGCAATTCAAAAGAACCTTTTTTACGCTACGAATTTTTCTCAGGATGGGCTTACTGATTTAAATCGATATACTCATTAAAAAGGCTGAAACCCAATATCTATGTCTGTTATCTCCACGCCAAAACCCATTAGAAAATTTAAAAAAACTCATTGAAAGTGGACGTGTGGCTGTGGAAATGAGGCACATTACATTGACTCCAACCATCTAGATTAAAACGAGCAATGGGCCTGGTGGCACGAGGGACTCTCTTGGTTGCCGGACTAGAAAGTTTTTTAATAGAGCAAAATACACAAGGGAGTGGGGTTCATACCGAACTACACTCACCGAATACAATAAGGTCATGAGAAACGCAAAACGTGACTCGTGGAGGTGGTACCGCGAGGAAATTGAACAAATTCCGGAAGGTGCCACACTCCAAAGAGCCTTACAAAAAGAAACAACGGGTAGAATCGGTTCCTTGAAGAAAATTGAGGTTACACAGAGACTGCAAAGGAGACTTCAATCACACTTTCCGGGTTCAAAGATGCGCGCGAACCGATTACTCCGAAACCACTTCTCACGAGAAACAGAGGAGATTGGGTTTTGGCTTGACAGATAGTGAGCCTAACTAAATCTAGGTGAGCAGTGAAGATTTTCCATTTGTGTAAGCCTCCAGGTATGGATGGAATCTCTAGCCTCCACATCATGTGCGTTACTAAGGGCAAATTCCCCCCCCCCTGCCACCCCCCAGGTACAGTTTGTTCCCCCCCCCCCCCCCCCCAAAGAGTTATAGGAGTTTCGAGAACACCATGTAAAGCTCATACCGGTCATTTAAATCTGAATATAGGACAATTTTTCTCATATAATGTGGATTGGAACATCTTATTACTTATTGAAGACCATACTAAAGTATGAAATCTGGCAACAGTGGACTGTACAAAACACATCCACAAAGTCGACCACCTTGGATAACGCCCACAATCGAGGCCTACGATACTTACAGGCCGGAGCGCTCGAAAAAGTCTCGTGACGTTAGGAGTCATATGATATACATTGTGGCTTATGGAAAATCCGTGCGCGGCTCCACTATTTATTTTTTTACTCCGGATCCGTGCAACATAGAGCCCCGAAATTTCAATGGGAGCTTCTCAATAGTACACACAATCAAATTATGGTGTCCGTTAATTTTTAATAACACTAAAAATAATGAATTTTTAGATTTAAAGTATTGAAAATAAAACGATGTGAGTAAATCCGCGTTTTTCTATCTTTACATCATCATATTTCTTTTTCTAGTATCATTATAATCCTTTCGGTGCCTTAAACTAGAATGATATGCGCCTCCAATTACCTATGCGTATATAATGCCTTATCTGGTATTTGTATAGTTTTAACAGGCCCTACAAAATCGCGCATTTATTATTCGCGCAGAGAAAAATTCACCATGCGAGAAACCTTTTTGTTACTGCTATAATTGTATCACATATATCGAATGAATTGTGGCCAAAAGACACAAAAATGTTCTTCAGAAGGAAATTTTAAGAAATGGTCTCTTGTTTCCCTTTTTCAGCAGCTGAAGTAAATAGCGCGATTTCAAGAATAAGTGAACGCGCAAAGGAATTATGTTTCAAATAATTGTTAGTAATCGATTTTCAAATTGTTTGTGAGATTCAAATTTACATTAAACTTATAAAATTAAAGATATTATCAGTCAAAAGTATGGAGTATATCTTATATCTTCGTTAATATGAATTTTGCAGTACATAAAGCATTTTAGGTATACCTACTCGTGTGAAAGTGAAATGGCAAATTTGTCTTGTTCGCCAATGAGGCCTGGTAAGTATCGTAGGCTTTCATCTTCATTCTATGAATAAATAAAAATAACCTTTTGAATAAGGAAGTTTTAAAAAATAACTTTTTCTATCCAACTTACAGCAGTTTTAGTAAAAAGTACAGCTAAGGAATAGGCAGTGCCGGACTGGCCCAGGCCGCTAGATTAGATTTCAATAAACACTACAAATATAAAATTAATATATTTTAAGAATATAGACACAGTCATATTTCAAAATCCAACAATCAACTCTTAATTTAATATAAACGTGCCTATTTGACTGACATCAGTTTCTTCAATTTTTTGTTGTCCTAGTGTTGCCCCTTAAATTGTTATTCTTACATTTTGAATAATTATTTAGTAGGATGTTGGTAAATGTTTGCAAACTCTTTGAAATGTAGTATTTAAAACTATTCTGAGATTGGTCGCAAATTTCATCATCTACTTCTAAATTCTTCAAAAATATTTTTATTAATAATAATTTCTGGTCATCGCATGACAAAAAATCTTTTTCGTATCTTTCAGAAATAAGTTGCTTAAAAATATTATAGGCTATTATAAAAAAATTCAGGAAACTATCAGTGGGATATCTCAAACCACATCTATCTAAACATCATATGTATTCTAATTTCGTTGTTTTACTGAAATCATCAATTTCCAGTGGTCTTTCAGTAGCAAATTTACTTTGACACAGGTGCAATATCTTCCAAACAGTTTTTGTATGATATATCCTCCAATAAATATGAGTACCTTGACATCGTTTTCAGAAGTAACTATTTTGTCGTTTTCTAAATCTTGAAATATTTCAATACTTATTTTTAACATCGCCTCATCTTCTGCTAAATTACACGACGAAACAAAATCTTTGATGAAAAATAATCCTCTTGAATGCGACTTTAAGCGCAATAAGCTTAATATTTTTCATTTTATAAGTTTAAAGTAAATTTAAATCTCACAAACACAATTTGATAATCGATTACCTACTAACAATTATTTGAAACATAATAACTCCTTTGCGCGTTCACTTATTCTTAAAATCGCGCTATTTACTTCAGCTGCTAAAAGAAGGAAACAAGAGACCATTTCTTAAACATTCCTTCTGAAGAACATTTTTGTGTCCTTTGGCCACAATTCATTCGATATATGTGATACAATTATAGCAGTAAAAAAAAGTTTTTCGCATGGTGAATTTTTCTCTGCGCGGATAATAAATGCGCGATTTTGTAGGGCCTGTTAAAACTATACTAATACCAGATAAGGCATTAAATACGCATAATTGGAGGCGCATATCATTCTAGTTTAAGGCACCGAAAGGATTATAACGATATAGTTCCTAGAAAAAGAAATATGATGATGTAAAGATAGAAAAACGCGGATTTACTAACATCGTTTTATTTTCAATACTTTAAACCTAAAAATTGATTATTTTTAGTGTTATTAAAAATTAACGAACACCATAATTTGATTGTGTGTACTATTGAGAAGCTCTCATTGAAATTTCGGGGCTCTATGTTGCACGGATCCGGAGTAAAAAAATAAATAGTGGAGCCGCGCACGGATTTTCCATAAGCCGTAATGTATTTCATATGACTCCTAACGTCATGTGACTTTTTCGGGCGCTCCGGCCTGTAAATATCGTAGGCCTCGCCACAATCGATTAAGAATGAAATGCACTAGTTTTGCATTCTTCCACATTGAATGATCTATGAATTTTTCAATAGGTTTCCACTAACCCAGTGGTTTTCAAACTTTTTCCCCTGGCGCCCTCTTTTTGAAAAGTAAAATTGCCCCCTTCCCCGATTAAAAAATAAGAACTGCTTTACTACAAAAAAAGTATTTATTTAAAAAAAATTACATGTTTTTATACAGGGTGAGTTTTTTCTTTTTCACTATGGGGACTCGGAAACTGTACGAGATACAAAGCCGCTTAAATAGGCAAATTGATGATTAATTTTCCCTTTGAAAGTTTCTTGCAGCTCTACAAATGGCGAAGTAATGACAAAAAAAACTTAAAATTGTCATATTTATATTCATATTATCATTTACTTTTATATATTTTCGGGACATTTTCGAAAATGCGCTGGCGTTCATTTGTTTTCGAAGAAACATTTAAGATAAAAATGAATGTGTTTGAGGAATGTTTTCAAAAACATTTTATTGCCAGGAAGAGTTCACTAAAAACTGTCCCTCTATGTAAAATCTTATTCTGTTATCTTCTTTTGTTAGTTATTCTTTAAATGTACCTTTGTATTTTGTTTGTAATATTTTTGTAATGACGACCGTAAGTGTACCCACACAAACAACGGTATAATAAATATTATTATTATTAGGTGAATTTACCTAACATGCAGCTTCAGGGATAGGAACAAGTTACAAAGCTCCCTTAAATTTGCATTTCGTGATTGATTTGAGATTAAAAAGTGCGTTACAATGAAATTCCAAACCCCTAACTACAGTTTTGTAGCGAACCCTTAAAAAAGTAGTCTGACTAGCATTAAAAAAAATGGCGTCTATGTCTTGGCCAATAAAGTATGATTTGAAGTGAAGTTTCCAATAATTATTATCACGTTTGGTTCTTTGTCATCACTTGTTTGTTGAGTATAGACCTTTTTTAAAGAAGTCAAGAAAACCTGCACAACTATGCCTTGCTGGATCGTTTCCTGGTGAGGTTGTTCATTCTCACTGAAATGATTTTCTACTGCAATTCTGTAACTCTTCTTCTTGTGTTACTATAAACAAGTGTTCCAGGTTGAAAAACAACGATTAAACATGTCATATAAGTCTCAGGCATGCGACACAGCAAAAAATCATTACGCGGATCAATTACAGCGCACAAACGAATTACAACGACAACACTACCGATCTGGATTACCTGAAGTATTTAGACAGTTACAAGAGTTGGACGAGAAGAGGATAAAAAATATAAAAAACTTTATTTATAGTGCAGTAGAAACTGAAAAAAACGTATTTCCTATTATTAATAAATGCTTGGACGGCATTACGAAAGCCGCCGACATTATAGATGAAAAACAAGTAATTACGATGCGCTTTCTTTTGCGTTTAATAAGTTACATTTTGCAGGATACCATACTGGTAATAGAGAGGTTTAAATCGGGTTTCAACCCTCCCGAAGATTATCCCTTTGAAGATTTGTCGAAAAGCAACGGCAGTAATCCGGGTAGCCTTCAAAATGTAAACTCGATTCAACCTCGCTTGAAAGACGGCGGGCTTACGGTGAAGGGGACATTTTCCGGCTCGAAAATTAAAAAACGAGCGGGAATACTAAATATTTTTGGCAGTCGTGGGGTAAGTTCCGTTTGTTTTTTTATTTCACCGTAATTTTAATTTGGAATCTCACTTTAATTTTCTTATTTCTTTGGTAATTGGTTCTTCCGCGTGTTCCTGACGCTGGCCTTTGCTGCCTTTTGTAAGTAAATTTAATTATTGGCTTGCGAATGTTAAACAGAAATAAACCGCTTTTTAACGCTATCTTCATCTGTGTGTGTGAAGCGCTCATTAACCAAGAGAGATCATTGCTTTAATCTAATGAGACACTGTATTTCCTTGGTTTTGTATTTAATGAGGGTGCTACTCGAGACAATAATTTTATGTAAACTTCATTTTTGCTCGTAACTTTAACGAAATTAATGAGACCAGTAGGTGAAAAACACATTCTGACATTTTTTTTCGTCGCCCTTCCCACACAATTGCATGATTCTAAATTGCAGTCTTATTTTCATGCTAACAGAAGCTTACAGAAGTGTGTGTTGCAATCAAGGTACGTAGCTTCAGCTTTCATTAGTACACAATTTATAATGTAGGAGAGTAGTTTGTGCCTTGCTATATGCTTTGTGTGGTTCAGTGTGCTTTGTTATATTCCCGCATGCAAGTTATTGTACGTATTAATTTAAATAGTATGGCAGCGTTGTGAATTTAATTTAACGAAATTTATTTTAGAACAGTTTTTTAATTGTAGATATCCGATTAGGTGAAACATATACAGGGTGCCCATTTTATGATCTCTAGTGTGAAGGATCTCATCTACTGAAGTGATTTTTGAAGTAGAATATACAGGCTGTTTCACGCAAAAAGCTACCTAGAAGTATTTAAACTTCTATTAATAATTTCAATCTGAAAATTTGCATACCAACATAGATTTTCATGATCTATCGAAAGAAAATATTATCATGATGTTTCACTTCTGGTTTTAACGGATGTGGATTGCAACTTTCTTATTTTAAATAGAACACCCTATATTTTATGCCATTTTCGAAATCTACATGAAGATCGACATCGTTTGATACCACATTTCCCTATACCCAGCATCAAAGGTTTTCAAGTTATTCAAGATTTTTCAAAATTTTTGACGTTTGACTGCTTTTCTTTTTGTTTGTGACCGTTATATGCATAATTTTCTTAGGAGGCCTTGAAATAAACGCGTTAGCAACAGGTCGCGATAACAAATGACAAAATAAGAAACAAACATCAATTAAGGTTTTTTTCAATTCATTATGGCGTCCTCTGATTCTCTAATTAACTCCATTTCATCAAGACGCCACACATCCCACAAGCCAGCAGAGCCATTTTAGAAAAATGAAGGACAAAATACATCAGAATTATAGGCTGATTATAGGCCTTTTTTGGACACTTGAACAAATTTTCAGGCGGCATCCTTTAAAGAAAAAAACTATGGCTCTGCTGGCCAAAGACGAAGCTAGCTGACCACTTGTGAGATTTGCTTCGAAGGCGAAAAATTCAGATCACAAAATTATAGGCTATTTATAGGCTTTTTTTAGACACTACAACAAATTTTCAGGCGGCATCCTTTAAACAAAAAAAACTATCATTCAGATCAGTTTGATTTTGATGTAGTGGATAAAGAAAAATCATTTATTTATTGTCTATTTATTGTCCCTCTCTTGTTCTGGGCCCTCAACGGTCTTTCGCCCAATTAATATATTTATTTAAACTCTAACTTATATTTCAAAAATCCGATACAACTGAATACCGAACGATCCTCGAGATCTTCACACATACATCATTTTTACAATACACCTTAAGGGGCCTAAGGGGTTGATTCTGTCCTACCTGATCAGCATAGCTTGTAACACAAATTTTTTGAAATGGCATTAGTTTTACATTTATTTGAGGTGCCTGTATACAACATTTTATTTAAATATCTTAACAAATAAAAGAAAACCGACTGCGCATGCGCAAAACAAATTTTTTGATTAGGCATCAGTTTGACTTTTATTGGAGGTGCCTAGATACAGACTTTCATTTAATAGTTATTTACATATGAGTATGGTAAATCAAGGTTTACGTTAACGAGTGAGATGTTTACTGCCGAAGCGTAGCTGAGGCAGGAATTTCGAAACGAGTAACGTTAACTGATTTAACATACAAATAATGTAAAACATTTTATTTCATACTGCTCTATTTCTATTAAAATACCATTTTGATTATAGAATGTTGTAGGTACACATTAAAATAAAAGCAAAAGTCGATCACTTGATTTGTTTGATCTGACAGTAGTTTGACAAATATCAATATCAATCAATCAATCAAATATCACGTTTAGATGGATGTCAGTGGCGGTTGCTAGGCAAAATTTCCAGTCTGGTAAAAATTTTCAGTCTGGTAAAATACGATTTACCAGACTCAAATCAGTCTGGGAAAGCGGCGATTACTAGATAGTATGAAATAAATATATTAACAAATAAAAAATTAGGATTGCGCAAATACAAAAGTTGTTATGCGCATGCGCAGTATTTGTTTGCATCTGCATAGTTGCCTGAAGTTTAAGGAATATTTACTAACACAGAAAACCGGACATTCATATGTGCTTTGTAACAAGAGCTAGAAACCCTTTTTGGAGGTTTGCGCAGTTTTTGGTCTGTAAATATTTGGCCCGTTGGTCTACGTAGCTGAAAAACAATTGCGCACTTTGTTATATCCTGGTGAACATGTGTATATCAATTTTTAAAGCGATCGGACGTTTCTACACAAAATTACCGTACACACTGACAGACAGACGGACAGACAGACACACAGGCAGACAGCAATACAAAATTATAAACGATCTCGAGGTTCGTTAATAATATAATGAGACGAATAATTTTAATTTTTTGTTGTACTTCTTTCCAATTCAGGAATATCGTTTCAACTTTTCTTCTCCTATAATACAAGAGAAGATGCATAGACAACTAAGACACTTTTAACATTACTAAAACCTGAAACACAACTTGCTATATATTTGATTTATTAGTAAAAGAAAATTCAAATTTCAAATACCTACTTGACAGATGTCTCCAAATAGGTGGAACAATTCCTAACATTAAAGTTATTAGAATCTGGTAACTTCCGCAATTTTTGGGCAAACAACATGCGTTCTCTCTCTAACACACGGGCCCAATGGATTGCGGTACTTTCTATATTTAGTGACTTATAATGAATCTACAGTGACTGTACACCTACTATATAGAGGCAGTTTGGTCATACTTTGGTCACAGACAATAGTATATGTTGTCTGTGCTTTGGTATTGTTTTTTTATTGGTAGGTGGGATATCCGCCATATTTTAACCAAATAAATCGGATTGGCGGAAATTAACTTGAAATCCAAGGTGATCAAGTCATAAACAGTTGTGGCAATAATATTGTAACCATGGAAAAATTCCAAAATCTACCAATTCAATTAAACCGATCAGTTCAATGAAGAATATGGGAAAAACATGGCGGATATAGAGCATATGACCACACTGTCTTTATACAGTCACTGTTAATGGATCGATATTAATTACAAGGCAAAAATTTTGCGCATGCGCATAGCATATCGCACATGTGATCAGCTAGCTTCTTCTTTAGCCAGCAAAATCATAGTTTCTTTGTTTAAAGGATGCCGCCTGAAAATTTGTTGTAGTGTCTAAAAAAAGCCTATAAATAGCCTATAATTTTGTAATCTGAATTTTCGCATTCGAAGCAAATCTCACAAGTGGTCAGCTAGCTTCGTCTTTAGCCAGCAGAGCCATAGTTTTTTTTCTTTAAAGGATGCCGCCTGAAAATTTATTCAAGTGTCCAAAAAGGGCCTATAATCAGCCTATAATTCTGATGTATTTCATTCTTCATTTTTCTAAAATGGCTCTGCTAGCTTGTGGGACCTCATAAAAGTCCAGTAGCGTTATATAGGAGATCTAGAAGACCAATAGCGCGGATTGCAGGCCTAATCTACTTGTCTTAAAAAATGTTCAAAAACATATAGGCATCATGGATAGAATGAGCCGGCGCTCCGTCAAGTTGAAACCATTAGTTTTCCCCAGGTAATGTTTTCAAGGATGGTGCTGTCACAGTCACATCAACTAACGCGTTTATTTCAAGGCCTCCTAAGAAAATATAATGGTCACATTAAAAAATCTTAAATAAAACAAAAACCATTACAGATAGGTATAGAGAATGTAATAATTGATCGATGTAGAATTTTGTTCGAAATTTGAAACTGCTAAAAATAAAGCAAGTTTCATTTGAAAAAATCAACTTTTTAAGATTGGAAGTTATTAAACTTGACCATTAATTTTAAAACACCCTGTAGAAGGGTGATCAAAATTTAAATCATTCGCATGTAGCATCACGTCAGTATTGTTGATTTGGGAAGACTTTTTGAAACTCAAACCAAGGGCCCTAAAGAAAAAGGGTCAAACGTCAAAAATTTTGAATAACTTGATCACCTTTGATGCTGGTTATAGGGAAATGTGGGGCATCAAACGGTATCAAGCCCAAATTGTATTAAAAAATAATTAACACCAGCATAGCGGCAGAAGTGGAGAAGCCACTGCAATTTTGACTTCTCCCATCCACTTTCGAATCTGGATAGCAGTCGATAGGGAATGGGAAAGGAAATTGAATAAAAACTCATAATTTTGTGTGTAAGAAAAGACAAGAACAAGTAATAGTTATTGGTATTAAAGTGTGGAAAATTACGCTCACATTCAGCCGATGTCAGGGAAACCTTCGTCGGGACAAAAACCCTGGCATACCACACCAAATACACAACTAAATTAACAAAGATAACAAAAGCAAAAGAAAATCAAGTCACGAATTTTAAGATTCTAGGTTTCTTCGCCGATCTTCTTGTTGTCGTCCTGATAAAAATAATAATAATGTCTTTTATTAGCTACATTATAACTGAATCCATACATATATAAAGTACAAAAAAAAAAATTCGAAATCGAACCACAGCCTATCAGAATAAGTTATTTATCTGACTAGGAGACTGATTAAGGTCTCTCTATGTCCGGAGGAGCCGTCTCCATTGAAGACCCCTCTTTACATCCCTCATATCAGGTCTACTGGGCTTCTTCTTTTCAGCCTTGTGTGGCTCGTTTCTTGTACTAATGGCTGTAATACAATTTTGGTGTATGTTTCCAGTTTCCGGTGATGTTTTTGACTTCTCTTTTGAATTGTGTGTTGGACTGTTGGGATACGAAGGTCTTGATGAATCATGTGATTAGTTACATACCATGGAGCATTAGCTATTGCTAATTTTGTGACACTAGTGTTTTTGTGTTCTTAATGTACAGGGTGGCCAAATAAGAATGCGAGGTACTGTATCTGGGAACCTGTCCATCGTAGAGGCTTGCGGTAAAAAAAATTATTACTAAAACGGCCACGAGAAAAACCTGGAAAATATTTTTAAGTTTCTGCAATGGCCGCTAGGGGGCGTAACTGCAATCTGGAATCTAAAAAGTGATTTTTCTGTGAATTCCGCTATATTAACCTAACAAAAAAAATGTCCGGTCTTTGAAGTTGACGATAATCTGAACCTTTTTTTTGACAATTTTTCCTGTATCTCTAAAAATGAAGTGGTGGGGGGTATTCAAAGGTTTCCGTGAAAAACACCCTGTATCTTCGAAACGACTGAGCCGATTTTAACAAACTCGGTTTAATTGAAAAGAGTTATTCTTCGGCTACAAATATTATAATATTTGAAGTTTTGTTAGTTTCACATATCGCCGCTTGAGTGCTTTTTTCGACATTCCGACAGAAATGGTTAATTTTCTCAACAAAATTAAATGCGTTGGTTTGATTTTTTTTTCATGAAAAAGTAGCTAAATGATGCCTAAACAAGCTCCCGAAAACCGTATCTCGATATCTTGTTCTTAACCTAGAATTTAGGCCAAAGAAAATTTTATACCCTCAAAATTTTATTTTTTTAAGCTAATTTTTCCGGAATTATTTTTATTATATAATTTGTGACCCTAAGGTAGATCTATTTAAAAAAGGAAGCTTTTAATGCCGCCGTAAATGTTCGAAATGCTGGCCATCACGATATAAAAATATATATCTCAAGATATCGAAATTCTATTTTCGCAAGCTTGTTTAGACATCATTTAGCTACTTTTTCAAGAAAAAAAATCGAACCAATGCATTTAATTTTTTTGAGAAAATTAACCATTTCTGTCAGAATGTCGAAAAAAGCCCTCAAGCGGTGATATGTGAAACTAACAAAACTTCAAATAGTATAATATTTGTAGCTGAAGAATAGCTCTTTTGAACTAACCCGAGTTTGTTTAAATCGGCTCAGCCGTTTCGAAGATACAGGGTGTTCTTTACGGGAACCTTTGAATACCTCCCACTACTTCATTTTTAGAGAGGAAAAATTGTCAAACAAAAATTGTTCAGATTATCGTCAACTTCAAAGACCGGACATTTTTTGTTAGGGTAGCGGAATTCACAGAAACATCACTTTTTTAGATTCCAGATTGCAGTTACGCCCCCTAGCGGTCATTTCAGAAACTTAAAAATATTTTCCAGGTTTTGCTCGTGGCCGTTTTAGTAATAAATTTTTTTACCGCAAGCCTCTACGATGGATAGATTCTCAGATACAGTACCTCGCATTCTTAGTTGGCCACCCTGTACACGGAGGGACATTTTTCTTTTTTTAATTTGAAGGTTATATGTTGAGACTTTCGTTTATTTTTATATTCCATCTTATTTTATCAACCATTCCTCTATTTGGGGTTCTGAAGGTTTGCAGACGCTATTACTGGGTCTTCATGGATAGCTAAAACAACAGTCATCTGTAAACGTGCCAGTTGTTGCCGACAGAGATAATATTGGCCCTAACGCACAGCCTTGAGGGACTCCAGATTTGATGGGTTGGAGCTGAGAAACGTCATCATTAACCTTTGTTCTGAAATACCCGTCTGTTATGATGATTTCAATGGCTTCATTAATTTCATGTACTACTTATTCTGTGGCATTGTTGTGTTGTAGAGTGTGCATTGTGAAACCAAAATTGGTGATCAGGAATAGCATTGAGAATAGGGCGGGGGATGCGTTACAATATTACTCTTTCGAGTAATCTTGAGCTGGAGGACAAAACGTTCGTTTTGGCGCGCCAACTATACAGCCCGAGAATTCGTTTTCGATCTCTCACTCTCCCTTTATTTCGCCTTTGAGAAAAACAGAAAACGCACTCACATGACCTCTACTGGCGTGCCCGAACAAACAATAGAAAACTCGCATTTCTGTTACATGCTTGGCTTTAAACAGAGCGGAACGAAACTTTTAGGTTCCTAGAGATCGTGGCAACCTCGCTCGTTTTACGCAATACGTTTCTTGTTATCGCCATACATTCTTTCGTTCACGTTCGCTGTGAAGCGGTACATGTGGAAATTTGCCTATGTTGCCTCTGTTACATTGTCCGTTTGTTCTGAGACAAACTACATAGAAAGGCGGGAAACAGCGGAGGATTCTGTGAAGCCGCAAGGCTATTTGACACTTCTCACTGACATCTCCCAATCGGCTGTGGTTTTAGTTTTGTTGAAGGTTGAACAGTTAGTTGAATGGACCAATTTTTTAAAATGGTAATTACCATTTTATTACAGTGATCGTTGAAATATTAAGTTTGTTCCTCCCCCCAATAGAGTAACTTGTTGGGCTTAGAGTTGACAACAAATTATTTTTTTGTTGCTACTGAATATTTCAGTTCAGTTTGTTCAACACAAATTCTTGGCAAGGAAAGGCACTAATTATGCGTCTATTGTTTCTTGATTGCTATTAATGGCTTTAGAAATAATTAATTCCCCATTCACAGAATAATTAGCCCATAGTTCAATACAGTAAGTAAACAAACTAAAAACTTTTAACAAGGTTTCATGCTGAATACTGAGAAATGAAATTTTTTATCATACTGCCATGCTATTTTCATAATACCTGCTGATGTACTAACTGTAGGGAACCACAGCTTGGGTCAATCCAGTCTGATTGTTAAATAAAACCACTAAAATATGCCACGATTATTTCTTATTGTGCTGATAGCTCGGGGGGTTTTATGTAATTATTTTAATTCTTGTATTAATACAATTGATAAGAGGATTTATTCATTAGAATGCGACTATTGCCGACGGAAAGGACGACTACAGTGACCTGGCGCCAAATCAAAGAAGAAAAAAACTTATACAGAAAGTAGAAGAACTTCAAACGAAAGTTACGCAAGAAACGGCAACTAGAGATGGGCTAATGAAAATGAAAGGGGTTTATGAATCGAATCCTGCGTTAGGCGATCCTATGACCGTTGAAGGTAGGAATTATACTTTGCATTTTTGATTTATTGAATTGTGTTGTAGGTCAACTAAACGAATGTAGTCATAAATTAGAGAAACTTCAATTAGATCTACGGCGATACCAAGGATATTTGGAAGACGCGACTAAAACCGGCGTTCAAAACTCGCACTCGCAAAATAACTCGCCTAGGTTAGTTAACGGCTCGCGGCAGCACAGAAATTCCGGCGGCAGCGGACACGACGAGGAATCACTGAGCAGGTCTGGCAGTGACAGCAGTGTTGCTAATCCCACACTTAACCATAACAAACCATCTGCACCTGGCACACCTCAGCTTAATAACCATGGGTGGGTGCATTTTCGTTTTATTTTGCTTTTATTTGCGTACAATATTTACACAATTACATCAAAATTGCAATAGCATTTGTGGTCTTGAGTACTCGAATGAAGATCGATGTAGAGTGATGGGTCATCACTATTCGAGCATGCCGTTTCGCCTGTGTCTATACAGATTGGTATATCTTCGATTCTAGCTTCACAGCTTATAGCTTTGTTAAGAATTATTCCGTTACTTGCAAGCCATTTCGTAATATGTTGCAAACACAAACATGTTACGGGATTATGTAAAATTACTAAGTCGTGCAACGATAACAAGCTGTTCATCGTGTCTAGTGATAAGTAGGTAATGTTGTTGTTGTACAAATTCAGTAAGTGCAGTCTAGGAGTCGCCACAAAAGCGCCAGTTTCGATCTTGTGAATCAAGTTATAACCCAAATCCAGCTTTCTTAGAGAACTTAGTCGATTGAAGACTCTCGACTGAATAGCAGTTAAACGGTTATGAGATATGTCCAGGATTTCAATATTGACGACGTTTCTAAAAGCACTGTCCAAGTTGGTAATCGAATTGTAGGATGCGTTGAGCACTCGTAGTTTAGGTAAATCACGTAGCCAATCTGCACTTAATTGTTTCAGCCTGTTACCTCTTAGGTTTATAAATTCAACATCTGGAGTTCGTTGAAAGGCTCCCAGCTCAATTTGTTCTATTTTGTTGTTTTCCAAATTCACCACTACCAGTTCACTTAGATTTTTAAAAGCCGCAGATTTAATTGTTTTAATCCCAATCTGTTTGAAATCCAAATGGACTAAATGGCCAAAATTTTCTACAGCTGCTCTGTATAATGTCGGTACATTATTGGGTACGTTACTAAAAAGTATTTTGTACACTCGACCGTAATTCACATTTTCGGTAACCGTCGTTGAAGGCGTTATGCACTGATCGTTGTCATTTTGAGGCGGGGTAGCACTTAAATAATTTAAAGTTAGCGTGCCGTCATTTAAATTAAATACGAAATCGCAATATTCTTTACTTTTGACAATAGTCGAGGCACTCGCGAATAAAAGAACCGAAATTATGAACTTCATTATTAATTCTGAATGCAATTTGTTATCATAATCCCAAGTTCAACAGATAAGACGCGTTATTAATAGTCGTTGGAATTTCCCAAAAGTTTCTTTAACTGATAACTTATCATTTGATTCACCAACGCATTCTTGTCCTTTGAGATATCGGTAGATTCACAAGCCACTCGCGTATAAAACCTAAGAAACTTTTGCCCTACATTTTTTCGTATTGCGCGATTAATTCGCCCCAATTTTTTGTAGCCGCTAAAAATACGCTCGCGACAATTAACAGTTAGCGACTCTTCTCTTATGCTCACTATTTTGTAGTAACCAATTAGATTGCCACCACCTAATTTTAATATACAGGTATACTTATACCTAATAACAATAAGCTAGAAAGAAACCCAATAACATTATATGAGAGAGACATTGACAGTAGCAATTACAGTGACTCAATTTAAAACAGTGGCGACAACAGGGTATCTCGTTTTTGATTGGTGTTTGGTTCCGGTCGCCATATTGGAGCTAAATTCCAAACTGGCCTCCAAAACGACGTGGTACACTCTGTGCTAAAATTATGTTTTGGCAGTTCACGCTTCACGTTTGCACTTCGCTTCTTGTATTTGCTTTATTTTACGTTTTCCGTTTCAAGTTTTATATAAACTCGTATTTTATATAGCTTGGATTTACAATATTATATGGTATGCCTTCCAACATGAGTTGGAAAATGCGCTAAAAATTGTTTCAGAAGCCCTACATAATGAGTTTAGATAGAAAACTGGTTAGCGTTAGAGAAGCAACTTATATCAAATTTACCACCAAATTCAATTGTGGTTATGAATAACGCAATTGTGATCATAAATACGCTTGAATTGGTAAAGTTGATTAGATTGCTGAAGCACCGTGAATATTGCATTTTGGATATTGCATCATATTTTATACCTATTAGGTATACCATCATATAAATGGTGGCCACTATTAAGCGCGAAACGACAGTGGCGCGTTCAATTGTACCACTACTACAGCAGTGGCCCAGCTGAACGCACCCCTTGATACTAGCCCACTCAAAAGACGCATGTATGGCATCAGCGCTTTTAGTTGTGTATTCCATATTAGAAGACCTATATATGTTCTGAACCAGGAAGTGACGCCACAGCCAATCAGAGACCAGCACGCCCCCCTATGCCCCTCCCCTTGGCCAATGGGATACATTAGGCGGAGCCTTTAGAGGTCGCCCCCTGTGACGTCACAGCCAATGAGCGGCGTGGTCCGCCATTTTGGATCAAACGCCATTTTATTAGTCACGAAATCCGCCATCTTGGATTGGTCGCACACTCATGTAATGCTCATTGGTATTCTTTCTATACTATACCTATATATTAGCTGTTAATGTCAAAGATCCAAGGGTGAAATCGCTTGATTTATTTCTGTTCGCACTTTACAATAATTTGATGCCCTTTTTTATATTTCCTGTGCGTGCCATCTACTACCTTCTTATAATGAATGCAGCTTATTATGTCAGATCTGCAATAATTTTTTTTCATACCAGCATACACTACGAAACGCCTGTCCAGCTAGCTCAAAACAAATCAAACTTGAAACTTAGAAATTTATAATCTCTCCTCGTACACTTCTGGCATCTGCTATAAAGAAAAGTCCCAATATTGACTTAATAATTGTCAATTTGAGAGACTAGGCGGTCTCAAGTTCTGAAAATTTACATATTACACAAATTTTGATCAGCACTTGAAATGAATTTTGGGCACGAATACGAAAAAAATCTCACATGAAGACTCTATCCGGGTCGCACAATGGATTCGAATAAACACACAATTGATTGACAGTGACAAGAATTTATTCTGAAACATAAGAAATAAAAACTAAATAAACAAAGGTTTTCGGCGAATGATGAACTTTTTTTTCTGTGTACAATCTACAAAAATTATGCTAAAAAATGGAGAAAAGAAAATATCGAAGTGAAAAAACTAAAATATTTTTTTGGCAAAACGGTTATTTTGATTTCGTTAAAATTTTGGCAGTGTACAGTGTTTCTTATTTTGGTGGAGACTGCAGTGTATCTCACATATTTTTAAAATAGAGACTTGCCGTTTTCGCGATCTCTACTTTTTTGTGAAACTTTTCATCAACAAAATGAAAATTTGTAATTACCAAGAATACATGACATTACAGTGACTGTCACTGTACATGACATGACATGCCATAAATATATAATTAAAAAGTTTGCCACAAAATGGCGGCCACGTACCATGTGATTCAGCAACCAATAAAAAAATGAGACACCTGTTGTCGCTAGTGTCTTGTATAGAGTCACTGTAACAGAATTTGAGGTGGCTGTATAAAGAGACAGTGGGACCATAATGCCCCATGTCGGCCATGTTTTTTCCAATCTGGTTGGTTTAACTGAGTTAGTAGATTTTGCTATGGTTACAGTAATGTTGTCACAATTGTGTCCATCAAGATAAATCCGTCATGTTTTGACCAAATATAACGGATTGGTAGAAATGAAACTGGAAACCAAGGTGATGACCATGGTTTCTAGATTAATTTCTACCAATTCGGTGTATTTGGTCAAAACATGGCGGATCTCTCAACTACCAATAGAAAATAACACCACCATATGACCACACTGTGTATATAGAGTCACTGTACTAGAAACTACAGTGACTATAGAGACAGTGGTGATAATAATTTTTGATTGGTTGTTGAAATCGGCGGCCATGTTGCATCGAGTATAAATATAATATTGTATTGTAATGTACGTAACCGAGTCAACATAATGTCATACATGTATTGTGTGTTGCCTATTTTTAATTTGCATGTGCATGTGAGAGGATTTGTTTGTGCACCCAAAACATGGCCGCCTACATTCATTATAATATTATACAATAATTATAATGGAGGCAATGAAACGGAAACAGCTGATGAAATAAACAAAAAGTAAACAGTTTTTGTGCACCAAGAATATGGCCACCACAGTTTCAACGCGCAGCATTGCTTTTGATAGGATATTATCAGTCCCCTTTGTTTCATAGTCTGTCGCCACTGTCTCTATAAAGTCACTGTATCGGAAACTACATCTGCACAACATCTAGTGCGAAAATAAAGAACTAAAAAGTAATATCAAATACAATTTTTTCAAAGAACTTTTCGAATTTTCAAGGCACGTCCACTCTAGGAAATGGCCTATAAAGCGCTAGATGGCTCTAAAAATCTATTTTAGTGTTTCCCAGAGGCTTCATGAATAATTTGGGCCTTTCAATATTGCTTGGTTGAAGCTTTTAGGGACACGCTACATCTTTTTAGATCCAGTCTTTTACAGAGCTTTTTCTCTTGGTTTTTGTGTTTTTTACAGCTTCCTATTCCACCAGACCACTTGAAATATAATACGCAGGAATGCTCATGAGAGATGAAAAACTGTTAATAAACCGACTGCGTTTTTCTAATCGAATTGAAACAACAAGCGTATAAAATTTACTGTAAAAATGACTTATTTAAGCATTCACCACCTCCACTCTATTAATTGACATAACAAAAAACGAACAGCCAACTCCGTCGCTAAATTGAAGCCCATATGCATACGCTTATCATGCAGGTGTTATTTTATCAGACCCGGGCAATTAATTTGTCAGACACACACACATTTGTCCAGATCAAACTCTTCTTTTTCCGTCTATTTAAAATTAACTGTTTCCTTATTTATGCGTTCCTTGATTTTCTGACACTCATTAAATACAAAAACAATGCTTAAATGACTTACAAAAATTCTAAATTTACAGTACAAAAAAAACTAACATTACAATCTTTATTTTTGAGTCGGCGGAGTTTCAGCCAAGGCTGCTCTACCAACCCAACCTATTATACACATAAATTAAAACATTGTACAGGATATCCCGCCTGAAATTTCTAATGCTATACCTAAATTTGGTTTACAGCACATAAATTTTCAACTGCAGGGGGACTCGCTCTCATCATTATTTCAACCTAGAGAAACGAGACCATCCTCTGCTGTTTACACAACAACATAAAATATTGATTAGTAAATTATTTTTTCATTAATCAACTAATTCTAAATAATCATCCCTTTTTGTAGGAGATGGAAGGGGTTAAACTGAAATAAGACCAGTTTTTATATTTGATAATTCTATTCCAAAGCGCAATGTCATAAAAAACACCATTAAATGTATTTCCAATCTTCTAAAATATATGCAAATTTGTGTGTAAATTGGAAAGGGTGTACTAAAGTCACTAGATATAGAAAGTACCGCAATCATCCGCCATTTTTGGGCAAATTTGCTGCCAACTTAAAAAAATTGACAAATAAAATCTGAATAGCTGTCATTTTTTATAACCTAACTTCATAGTACTGTCATGTTTTACAAAAATATATACAGATATCTCCAAACAGGTGGAACAATCCCTAACATTAAAGTTACTAGAATCTGGTAACTTCCGCCATTTTTGGGCAAAAATCATGCGTTCTCTCTCTAACACACGAGCCCAATGGATTGCGGTACTTTCTATATTTAGTGACTAGGGTGTACCTAGTGATACATAAACTTTTGAAATTTCGTGCAAAGACAATGACAATAATTTTTACAAAAAAAAAATGGATAAATAATGCGAAAGTCTTTCTGTTTTCCTATTACCAATGCTTGTTAGATCAACATAAAATAAATTTGTACCCTTCCCCTATTTCATTTATTTACGCTTTTTAATGTTTTCCTCCGAGAGCACTATTTTTAAATAATTCCCGACACCATCTTAATTTATTACATTTTATTTTAATTGAAATTAATTTCACGTTGATGTAGTTGTTCCAACAGTCCAGAGAGCGGCCTCGGTACATCGAGGACGTCGTTACCCGGTGCAGATTCCGATCAGGATCAGTACGACGGACATCCGGCCGAAAACGAGAGCGAGTATTATGATGTGCTACCGTCATTAGGAATGTGTAAAGCCTTATATGCGTTTGAAGGTAAAGCGTTTAATAGAACTGCAAGGTCTAATATTTTCTAATTTTAGCAACAAGCGAAGGCAGTATTCCCATGGCGGAAAATGAGGAATTACATCTAATAGAATTAGATCAAGGTGACGGATGGACTAGAGTGCGTCGTCTCAATGGCCATTGCGAAGAAGGGTTTGTGCCGACCTCGTACATAGAAACAACATTGTATAATACTTAGGGTCAATTTTAATATTGAATAACGGCGTATTTAACTGTAATCAATGTAATATAAACATAATGTGATGCTAATGTTGTTATAGTCTAATCATTCCATTCTTAACAAAAGTAGTCACTTTTTGGTGTGATATTTATATAGAAAATTGACTATCGAGTCATCGAGGAAGGCTTCTGATATTAGTTCTGCTCGCGTGATTTATGGGCAACAGGTGTGTATGCGAAACATTGCCATTGTTCGGTTGTGACTTGAAAATCAAAGCGTATAGACAATTTGGCCATTTTTCAATGTAACATGTGCTCACTAAATTTTTTAACCTTTTACGTGTAGCTAGTTTCACGATGAATGAATACATAAAACAATGTTATTAGTCGTTTTATTTAATTTTAGGTATCGTTTTTATACTTGCGAATTTTTACCATTAATCTGAAATGTTTGTACATAAATCGCTCATAGCTAGTTATTGTCAGATACGTGTGTCTACTCTTGTAGACACTTGTAATATAGTTATATAGGAAATAATCTTTTTATTTTGTGTATGTGTAATTACTTTATGCTCAGTTATGCCAATTTGGGTTTTAAGTGATCGTTACATTATTGTTATTCGCAGCCTGCGCCAGTAAGTATACTACTGTGGTTTCATTGGGACTTTTGAATTGACTATGCGGTGTGCTAGAGTTTTACTTTTACGTTAACGAAGTATTTTGTCATCTCGTTTAATAACAAGCAGTATATTTATGCTACGCTTCACATATCTTGTGCCTTTAAGGAGTATAAGCAACCTGCTATCTTAATATCTGGGAATGCTCACGAAAAAATTGCGCAATTTTACGATAGTTTGAGAGTTAGGCATATCACTGTGAATTAGTAATTGCTCTATTTAGTGCTTTGCTTACTCCGTAAAGGCATAGACATTCATATAGGAGTAACGTTTAAACTATTCATTTATATATTGTCTGTGTACATGACTGATTTTTATGTATTATAATAAATATCTATATTTAACACAATTTTAAATTAGTTGTATGCATATGTCATTGCTTTCTCTCATTGTATAATAAAAGTTATTATTTTTTTTAAGTGTTTTAGAATTGGCAGCAAAATTTTTTGTCTTTGCACTACAAACTTATTTAAAAAATGGACAAGACCCTATTCCCAACCAAAGTATTACTGCATTGCGTGTGTTCATTTTAGGATGCATTATAAAACAAAACGGGGAAATTGCAAATGCTTGATCTCTTCAATAAACCTCTGAAAAATATCCAAAGCCTGGTTACAGCCCTTTGAATTTTCTTTCGAAATTGGTTTTTAGTACATAACTTTTGATTGAGAAGTCTAATCGAAAAAGTACGAATCGTTTTGGATTCTACGCACCAAAATTAATAAGAAAAAGTGTTCCCGAGAAATTTTGGTGTAGTCGATTATTGAAGTACAATTGCTCTACAAATCCTACATGAAATTGCACATTTACAACTGCCCTTTAAGGAAAATTGAGACGTGGCTATTAAGTGCATAAATTAAAATGTTCTTGGGAAGGTCGTGTCGGACGTGGCGACATCTCATTGTAACTGGTTCAACTATTACAAGAATTAAATAAGGAAAAGTATCGGGATTACAAAAGAGATGGCGCAATTGACCCATTGAATACACAAAAGACAATTCCAGATACTGGATCATTGAAGTACATTTGCTCTACAAATTGTACATGAAATTGCACATTTTCAACTGCCCTTTAAGGAAAATTGAGTCGGACGTGGCTATTAAGTGCATAAATTAAAATGTTCTTTTGAAGGTACCGTCATTGATTCAATGGTACCGTCGTACGTGGCGACATCTTATTGGAACTCGTTCAACTATTACAAGAAAAAACTTGGAAAAGTATAGGGATTACCAAAGAGATGGCGCAAATGTACCAATTGCATACACAAAAGACAATTCCAGATACTGGATCATTGAAGTACATTTGCTCTACAAATCCTACATGAAATTGCACATTATCAACTGCCCTTTAAGGAAATGGCCTGTAGATTCCATAATTTCAAACAGTTCCAAGATTGGGGTACTAGATCAAAAGTTGCAGCCCTTTGAATTTTCTTTCGAAATTGGTTTTTAGTCCATAACTTTTGATTGAGAAGTCTAATCGAAAAAGTACGAATCGTTTTGGATTCTACGCACCAAAATTAATAAGAAAAAGTGTTTTCCCGAGAAATTTTTGTGTAGTCGATTATTGAAGTACAATTGCTCTACAAATCCTACATGAAATTGCACATTTTCAACTGCCCTTTAAGGAAAATTGAGTCCGATGAGGCTATTATGTGCATAAATTAAAATGTTCTTGAGAAGGTAGTGTCGTACGTGGCGACATCTCATTGGAACTGGTTCAACTATTACAAGAAAAAACATGGAAAAGTATAGGGATTACCAAAGAGATGGCGCAAATCTACCAATTGCATACACAAAAGACAATTCCAGATACTGGATCATTGAAGTACATTTGCTCTACAAATCCTACATGAAATTGCACATTTTCAACTGCCCTTTAAGGAAAATTGAGTCGGACGTGGCTATTAAGTGCATAACTTAAAATGTTCTTGTGAAGGTAGTGTCGTACCTGGCGACATCTCATTGGAACTGCTTCAATTATTACAAGAATTACATTTGGAAAAGTATAGGGATTACAAAAGAGATGGCGCAATTGTACCAATTGAATACACAAAAGACAATTCCAGATACTGGATCATTGAAGTACATTTGCTCTACAAATCGTACATGAAATTGTACATTATCAACTGCCCTTTAAGGAAATGGCCTGTAGGTTCCATAATTTCAAACAGTTCCAAGATTAGGCTACTAGATCAAAAGTTACAGCCCTTTGAATTTTCTTTCGAAATCGGTTTTTAGTCCATAACTTTTGATTGAGAAGTCTGATCGAAAAAGTACGAATTGTTTTGGATTCTACGCACCAAAATTAATAAGCAAAAGTGTTTTCCCGAGAAATTTTGGTGCAGTCGATTTTTGGAAAAAAGGAAGGTTAACCACTGCCTTTTTTTTGCCCCGAAAAAAAAATTGTCTCAGATCGACCCGGAAAAAAATTTTCTTATAGAACGTGGCCTGTAGAATCCATAATTTCAAACAGTTCCAAGATTGGGCTACTAGTTCAAAAGTTACAGCCCTTTGAATTTTCTTTCGAAATTGGTTTCTAGTCTATAACTTTTTATTGAGAAGTCTGAATAAATGGCAGTTCAAAATGTACGGAGTCTTGCAAGATCTGTAGAGCAATTATAGTTTAAACGTCCGGTTTTTGAATAGATAATTTATACATCAAGTACTAGTGCGCCATCTCCTTGGCACTCGATACACTTTCTATCAATTATAGTTTTAGAAGTCTAGTTGAGATGTCGCCACGTATACAACTTCTTTTAAAATTTTATTTGAATTTATGCTATTAACAGCAACGTTGCACTTATTATTCATTAAATGCAGTGCCGTTTTTAAGTCTTTCGGGGCCCTGGGCCATTCGTTCGTGGAGGCCCTCCTTACCCTCAATAAAAACAGCAGATTGGGGAGATTCAAGCAAATCAATAATTTGAATATGGGCACTGGATATTTGTGTAGCCTGGTTTGTAGGCAACACATCATGCTCAATGAACAGAAAACATTTATTTTTGCAATTAGTAACTTCTTATGCATAGGAGTTTATTTAAAGCCCTTGGAAGAACAATTTCAATAACAGGTACATTAAACTGAACCGTTTTACAACAATTTTCACACGAAGATCGCACAAACAACACATTTTTTCGTGATTGCAAACTGCGTAACACTTTTGCCTTATTTCGCTGCCAATTTCACTACCGTTTCTATAACTGTAGTTCTATCAAATAAACTCTAGGCTCAATTCTTTAAAGAATAGCTTCGCACCATCGCCAGCTGCTGCAATCATGTAATCGTTCCGATTTTAACCTTGAGAAATTTGAGTTGCATTAGAATGGGTTTTCTGCGGGTTCTCCACGGTGTCCTCCTGTTTTGGTTACAAAGCATTTCCCTTTTCAATTTGTGTTGTCTGAATTCAATGCTAACATTTCTCATCCACCGAGAACTCTACATGTCTTCAATTGCACGACCCAGAGCGAACAGTATCATATTCCGCAAAGGTTGAGTCAGCCGCCTTCCTGTCACTCCCAGTAGCCAGTTCCCTAATTTAAACCTGTAAGCGAGAAAGGAATGATAACAAAGTTTAATTTTTGACTATAAAATAAACAAACATTCATTATGCAATTGAGGTTAAAATTTCATATATCTATGGTTTTTAAAAACTACGCTCTGACATCTAACGTTAGTTCCATAAAGTACAATTCAAAATTAGTGTGGCGACATCTTTGATGTGTAAGTTCCAACTAAAATAATGATGGTAATAAGTATCCTGCATTTAGCGATAAAATTTTAGTTCCCAATAATAAAGACAGATGTCAGCACAATGTATTCTGCTTTGATTATTTTAATATTAACCAAAAACTCAGGCAAGGCTATAAATATTTTGGGATTTGTGCCTCTCGCTGTCAAAGGAGGTAAACCACGAAACTCGAAAATTAAACATTTCGCTCCGGTATTATAGCCTGTTAGGCTGTTCCTTTGCGTCATAGCGTTTTTGGAATGCCAAAGGACAGGGCGGGTAAACGGACGGCCGTCCGTATACCTCTTTGGTACCTATACCTCTTTGGTACCTATACCTAGATTTTTGACGATTTTAATAAAGTATCTGTTCGCAACACACGAGTTAAATCGGCATAAGAGTACGCCGCAATAAATAAGAATTTTAAATCGGCGATCATTTTAAAGACATGAGAGTTCTGTTCCATGTGAGTTAGGTTAGATACAAGATTTGTAAAAATTTAAAACGCCCAAACTAATCTCACCTAACCTAACTACGAGTCTAACCTAACCTTTAATCAACTCCTTGAACATTATCATGATACCAGATTTTTGACCTAACCTAACTAACACGCTAACCTAACCTCACTTAAATTTTATTTTAACCTTCAATCTATTCGCACATTATATTCTCCTGATACCAGATTTCTGAGCTAACCTAACTAGCACGCTAACCTAACCTCACTTAAATTTTATTTTAACCTTCAATCTCCTCTCACATTATATTCTCCTGATACCAGATTTCTGAGCTAACCTAACTAGCACGCTAACCTAACCTCACTTAAATTTTATTTTAACCTTCGATCTCCTCGCACATTATATTCTCCTGATACCAGATTTCTGAGCTAACCTAACTAGCACGCTAACCTAACCTCACTTAAATTTTATTTTAACCTTCGATCTCCTCGCACATTATATTCTCCTGATACCAGATTTCTGAGCTAACCTAACTAGCACGCTAACCTAAACTCACTTAAATTTTATTTTAACCTTCGATCTCCTCGCACATTATATTCTCCTGATACCAGATTTCTGAGCTAACCTAACTAGCACGCTAACCTAACCTCACTTAAATTTTATTTTAACCTTCGATCTCCTCGCACATTATATTCTCCTGATACCAGATTTCTGAGCTAACCTAACTAGCACGCTAACCTAACCTCACTTAAATTTTATTTTTAACCTTCGATCTCCTCGCACATTATATTCTCCTGACACCAGATTTCACGCACGCTAATAACCTAACCTCACTTAAATTTTAATTTAACCTTCGATCTCCTCGCACATTATATTCTCCTGATACCAGATTTCTGAGCTAACCTAACTAGCACGCTAACCTAACCTCACTTAAATTTTATTTTAACCTTCGATCTCCTCGCACATTATATTCTCCTGATACCAGATTTCAGAGCTAACCTAACCTCACTTAAATTTTATTTTAACCTTCGATCTCCTCGCACATTATATTCTCCTGATACCAGATTTCTTAGCTAACCTAACTAGCACGCTTACCTAACCTCACTTAAATTTTATTTTAACCTTCGATCTCCTCGCACATTATATTCTCCTGATACCAG